TCACTTCCTCAGTAAAACCTTGCATGATCTTTGGGAAATGGAGCATTCTTTCTTTGGGACTTCAAGCATTTGGCATGTTGTGTTGTAATTATTCACATTTTCTTTTCTGTACTGCATTCCGACCTTTTTGATTGCCGGGACTATCATTTGTTTGTCTTTATATCTGTCCCAGCTGCTGACATAGTGCTTGTCACATCATAGGTATTCAACTCTGCTGAATGAATGAAGACATTAACAAGTGAAAAGCCAAATAGCATAGCAGGATTTGAAGAATGCTTTCTAGATAGTAAGAAACATCACAAGGCAGTATATGATTAATTGTTGAATGAATCATACACCAGTAATTGCTGTAGAAATCAGAGGAGGCATCTTATACATTTTGGTATATCCTCCCAAGCACCAAGCAGGGTGACTTGCTCATAGTGGAAGCTCAGTCAATTCTGTGAATGAATAATCACTGCTCTTGAATGAAGTGATGATGGGCAATAGAAGAACAAGCCGTGTTTAAGATGGATGTGTAGTTTCTTACGCATCTATTGCCAGCCTGCACAGATTTGAGGTAGTATGCATGTGGGGGGTGTTTTGGGGAGGACTAGGTTGGCAAATGCCTGGAGTTAGGGAGGACACAAGAAGGAGTGTGAAGTATTCAACTGGGGAGGATAGACTTAAAACCAGGACATTTTACACACACAACAGAAAACAGGCATGACAGTGTCCAAAAAGGAACACAAAATGTGGCCAACAAATGGTCAGCAGGCAGTAAAAGCACTGGGCAATGAGAGAACTGGAAAGAAATCCTATTTCAGAGGAGTCTTTGGGAAAGTTTAATATCTTAAGAGCAGGTAGAGCCATTAATTCAACGATTATTTTTCAAGCATCTACTATGGACCAGGAACTCTGCTAGGTACTAGGGGAAGTATGCTGATCAATGGCATTAGATGCTACAAGTCTGACAACAGCAGGTGTGGAAAGAAGGAAAAAGAGATAAAGTAACTGATTAGAGTCAAAGAAGTATGGCTTCAAAGATCCTTGGAGCCTGATGACCTCAACAAGACAAAACAGTCAAGTCTCAAGTCACCATCGAAATTAATGTTGTTTCACTAAACTGGGGAGGGAAAAACATTAACATATCTTATTTCACCACTTATTTCATCTAGATGAATGACCTCATTCCCTGACACCAAAAAGGATGGTAGGGGTGGGGAGGAAATGTCAATGAAAGAAGATCCCCAACTCCCCCAGTGGCTATACAGCCTCTTTCTATGGTAGTTCTAAGAAGATTCCATTTTAATTAAAGAGCTTATGACCAACAAACAATCCAGAAAACCAAAATTTGTCTTTTATTTTCATTCTGGTTAAACATGATCATCAAAAGTATTAGGGTATAGGGGCCAGGTGGGGTGGCTAGCCCCTGTAATCCCAGTATTTTGGGAACCCAAGGTGGGTGGATTGCTTGAGCTCAGGAGTTCAAGACCAGCCTGGGCAACAGAGTGACACCTCTGTCTTTACAACAAATTAAAATTATCTGGCCATGGTGGGATGCACCTGTGGTCCCAGCTACTCAGGAGACTGAGGTAGGAAGATGACTTGAACCTAGGAGGTGGAGGTTGCAGTGAGCCGATTGTGTCACTGCACTCCAGTCTGGGTGACACAGCCAGACCCTGTCTCAAAAAAAAAAAAAAAAAAAATAGTATTAATGTATGGATTAACCACCTAGCTTCCACTTTCTATCATCAGCTACTTTGAAATTCTATTTCTTGGCCAGGTATGGTGGCTCACACCTGTAATCCCAGCACTTTGGGAGGCCGAGGCGGGCAGATCACAAGGTCAGGATATCGAGACCATCTGGGCCAACATAATGAAACCCCATCTCTACTAAAAATACAAAAATTAGTTGGGCACAGTGGCACACGCCTTTAGTCTCAGCTACTAGGGAGGCTGAGTCAGGAGGATTGCTTGAACCCGGGAAGCAGAGGTTGCAGTGAGCCGAGATCATGCCACTACACTCCAGCCTGGGTGAAAGAGCGAGACTCCATCTCAAAAAAATAAAAGAAAGAAAGAAAAAGAAAAAAAGAAATTCTGTTTCTTCCTTCTACTTTTTTAGGTTTGTCCTGCCAGTTATGTACTGCAGCAAGGTGGGGATGGGAGACAGCTCATCTATTGCTATGTGCTATTTTCCACCTCTACTGTTTCTGTTCTACCTGAAATGTTCTAGACACAGATCTTCATGATTGCTCTGAGATCTTTCTTAAGGAAGCCATTACTGATAAAATTTAGTTCTTGGACTGAAGAGCAATTAAGGCCATTAGTTTCTTTCTTTTTTTTAATAAATTGTTTATTTTATTTTTTTTTTAAAAGACAGGGTTTCACCATGTTGGTCAGGCTGGTCTTGAACTCCCAACCTCAGGTGATCTGCTCACCTTGGCCTCCAAAGTGCTTGGATTACAGGCGTGAGCCACCACGCCCGGCCTAAGGCCATTATTTTCTTGGTGTGGTTCGTCTTTCACTGTCTCTCAGTTTTTTAGCTGATCTGTTACAACAGTGAGACAGAACAAGGAACAGCAGGTGCCACATAATAAAAAAAGCCCCTCGCCAATTAGGTGGTGATGCCACTGAGGCTGTCTGCCTGCTTCTTCCCACAAAGCGATTCCACACCCTTTTTCTGAGACTTAGGCTTAGCAGAGTCGAAGGGACCTGGACTGTCACAAAAGACACAACTCTCCACTTCGTAGGGGATGAAACATGGAACAGTGTAGTCAAGTTATAGGAACTCGTCAAGTGAGTAGCACACCAAAATAAAGAACCAGGTCTCCAGACTTCCAAAACAATCTTCTCTTCTCTACACCATGCTCACTCTTACTGCAGAGACAGTAAAGACATTTTATCCTAAATGGGCTTTGGCGACTAGCCTAAAGACTAAATTTGAACTCAATTGAACATGGACCCAAACAATGGTCACCAAGTCCTGGAACGGGTTGTGTGGGCCCCTTGAGATGTTCATCCGGTGTTATTTTGGAGAAATCTCTATTTCAACCTATTCCTATATGTTAATTATTGAAAAACAATAGACAATCACAAAAACAAGTTGACATTTTTGTGTTCCTTGAGCTGTTCAGGAAGAGCCCTCGTGACTGGGCCGCATGCCAAACAACTTGTTACAAAAGGACCGAGGGTCCCAGACTGCACCAAAGCTTCATGAGACCTTTCCTCCTCTGTGCACGGACAGGTGGCTGACTCTGGAGCCCAGGCCGTTGCTTCCCTGTCTGGCGATGAATCCTCCATAGGCTGGTGAGTGTAAATATATTTCTTTCTTTTCCCTTAACCCCTTCCCATTGCAATTTGCTTATTATGTCATTTGCTGATTACATCTGCACTGCCATTTATGTGGGATCAAATTTGTTTACCCTTAAAGGTATTGTGTGTGTGTCTTTTCTTCTCCCCTCACGCGTTTTCCACACAGAACACCTATGAACCTATTTTTTATGATTTTTATGAGAAAATGAATTCCAAGTTGTGCCTCAGAATTTATCTTTTAATCTCCTACTCATGCCCTCACCACCCTGATGAACACAGTATCTGGCCAGCAGGAATGAATGAAGACCATTTTATGTTCTTAATAACTTGCTTGGAAATGAACAGCGCACAATTTATCCAAAGGAAATATTTATACAGGCAGATCCCTCAAAATTGAGGATTCATGTTTGGGAAGAATTTTTTTAGAATTATCCAAATTAACCACTTGTCTTTCTCAGAAATAAATCTGTTACTAATGCTTCCTCTACCAGCCAGCTGCAAAACCACACACTATTCTTTGAAAAAGGAACGCAGAAAACCTACCTACTTCCTGGAGCATATAGGAGAGGGATCTAAAAATCCTGGTGATACGGGAGTGACTAGAACCTTTTTTTCTTTTTTTTTTTTTTTTTAGTAACAAAGCTAAAAAGGGGGGTGTGTAACTTAACTTGACTTGTAAAAATATTCATAGAAGTCATCTATATACTACCACTTGTGTATTTATGGTAGAGTATTAGAGATTATTCACATCATCAAGTATGTCAAGTTAAATTATTAGAGTACAGCACCAACTTCTTGTTCATAGTTTGTCAGTCGTCAGCCGGGCATGGTGGCTCACACCTGTAATGCCAGCACTTTGGGAGGCCAAGGTGGGTGGATCACTTGAGGTGAGGAGTTCAAGACCAGCATGGCCAACATGGGGAAATTCCATCTCTACTAAAAATAAAAAAATTAGCTGGGCACGATGGTGGGTGCCTGTAATCCCAGCTACTCAGGAGACTGAGGCAGGAGAATCACTTGAACCCAGGAGGTGGAAGTTGCAGTAAGCCAAGATCGCACCAGTGATAGAGCAATACTCCACCTCAAAAAAAAAAAATAAATAAAGAGTCTCTCAGTCTTCATACTTTGTTGCTTATATATCTGCTTCTAGGTTTTAAGATAAAATAAAAGTGCTGGCCTAGGAACTGGAGGCCAGTTTACCTTAGGGGCAAAGGCAATGGTGATGAATATATACAATAGCTTCACTTTCTATGGAGCAAGCTTGTAAAATCTTGAGCAAGGATGATGGCAGCAGAGCTGTCTGCCTAAGCATCATGTAGAAAACTTTTTAATGGTTTCTTTGGACCCTAGCTTGTAGTGTTGTTTCTGACGCTCACTGTATTGGAAATCCGTGGTTTTGTTACATAATGTGTTCCTAAAAATGTGTACACATGTGTTGAGTATGTGGAAGTTGATTATATTTATGTTACAAATGAGCAGTTCTGTTTCTGGAAAATAAAAATTTTCACCTCATCATTACATATATTCTTTGATAACACAGTCCCAGTGTTTCATCCAAATGCTTTCATTTTCTTCTTTTACATGTAACCAACCATCCTGGATATGAAAGGAACAGGCAGTGAGGGCGTAACATCTGCCACTTTTGACTCAGACTCCCGATCAGTTCCATCCACATCTCAAGTGTGTCACATTCATGAGACGCAGGCTTCTCATCAGCAATTTCAATTTTATGTTTTCTACTTATTTTTATATAAGAATACAATGCAACAAAATATTTATATATTGCACAAACAGTGATGTGGATACAAAGATGCTAACAACATTGGCTGGAAGTAGGCTTTACCACGTTACAATCTAAATGCTTGTTCATCAGAGAATGTACAGAATTCTAAATTTGGCATCCAAAAGGGGGCTTAGAGTTTTTGAATATTTTTTAAAGTGTCACTTTAATCAAAGTCAAGTTTGCCTACGATGGAGACTGTCTAAAGTAACCGTAAGGGCAAGCATACCAACATCAAAATTCTTACTCTAATCTCGCATGCCCCTCTTTCTCCAAAATAAGTGACAAGGAGAGTAAAAGGACCACTGAAGGGACATTTGCAGAATGTTACTAAGTGCCAGGCCCTGAACTAGGTAATTAATTACTACAAACACTCACATGATGGACATGGCCAATAGTGTATTTTATGTCAAACAAAAACAAAAACAAAAAAATCCAAGACTTTAGAAGCTGTTAACTTCAGTAAGAGTTCTTGTTTGTGGGACTGAGGAATGAGATTGAGAAAGAGCCTTTAATTATTTGAAAAGGACCCAATAAAACTGTACTTAAATGGATCATTAATGTGGATTTTTTACATTTGTGTGGGATAAAGAATAATCTCATGGGAAACAAACACATTTCAAATATTTTTTAAAGAAATAGTTCTGATTCTAATTTGACTGTATGTTTAGGCATCATTAAAGACCTCTGATTTGAAGGTAGATTTATGTCCCAGGGGCTCCGAATTCATGACATATTTTAAGGCTCCACATTCTATGCAAAAATGGATTTACCAAGCGTGGAGGTAATAAGTATGTAAAAAATAGATAACTACAGTGGTACTTTGGTATCCATGGGGGATTGGTTCCAGGATCCCCCAATACCAAAATCCACAAATGCTCAAGTCCCATATAAAAAATGGCATATATTTGCATATAACCTACACACATCCCCCTGTACACTTTAAATCAGCTCTAGATTTCTTATAATATCTAATACAATGCCTGCACATCACTTCATTTACATGGATTCAACATAGTTCTTAGCATGCAGCAAATTCAAGTTTTCCTTTTTGAAACTTTGTAGATTTTTTTTCAAATAGTTTTGACCCAAGGTTGGTTGAATCCACAAATACAGAACCCATGCATTTGGAGGACTGACTGTATTTCTATTTTAGGTTTGCTTTTCCTCCTTAGATCCCTCAACAAAGAAAAAGTCAAAGGTCCTCCTCTCTCTGTTTATGACCAGAACTAAGACCTATAAAGGAAGCAGAGCACTAAGTGGGGTCCCTGGAATCCCCAGCTTCTGGTTTCCAACCGCTTCTAGATGTGCTCTGGAAACATAACTGTGCTGAAACCATACTGAGGTATAAATTCCCGAATTGAAAAGAAAACAAACAAACAAACTTGGTAGTCTCATGCCTGGGAGATATGGAAGATGGAAAATTCTGGAAAATCAATAGTCAGGCACTGATGAATTTCTACATCTGGGCATTTCTTGAGGGAGACAGGGCCTGGCTATTTGGAGAGGGAAAAGGTGGTGACCTAGAATGAGCAGGACCAGTCTAGACTCGCCTCTTCATTTAACTAACTGAATAGTCTTGGTTCCAGACTTCCGTGGACTCTCAGATTTGCCTTCTATAGAAGAGGAGTTAGTACTAATCCCTCTCTAGTCTTTTTTAGTTTGTCGTATGTGGCCAGCCCTAGCACTTAAATACCCTGCTGAATATAGAGAAAAGTAGAATAATTATTTTAAAATTAGGTCACTTATCTTCTTATTTGAATACTACAAGTCTTATAACCTCTTCTAGAAATGAGACTGAACTAGCAAATACATAAAGACTAATATAAGTGCATTTCAGTAAAATCATTGGTAAAGTACATTTATGATCAATCTTTCTATGCTTTTGATATGGCAAATTAGAGGTAAGTATTTCTGAGTAAGTCTTCATCCTTTCAGCAAACAAGTATATGGTTTGGTATACTTGGTGATGGTGAATAAAACCCTTAGTTTTTCACTTCTTCATGCCTTAATAAAGTCTTCAAGGCAAGCCCAAACCAGAAGGGCTACAATAATAACAGCAATGAGAATGGATCTTAAAGTCAACAGTCATGCCACAAAACTCAACAGGAAGACATCATGAACAGGCTGAAAACTGTGAGTCTTAAAGTCAGTCCCGAAGTAGGCAGGCTTTAGGAGGTGGAATCAGCGTCCTCTGGGTGGAACAGGTGGAGGAGGATGGAAGGTCTCCCTGGACGGAGGCCTGAAATGAAAGCAACTCTATTTAAAAACTGATTTGAATAAATAGTTCTTATGCGTGCACTACTTGTTGTAAACTTGGTATAGTGTGCAAAGGATACATTCCTCAGTTAATGAGACAGGACACACATGAATGTTTGAGTGAGTCACATGCTAGCTGTGGCTCCCAATCCTGGTGGCACATTAGAAACACCAGTGGAGCTTTTAAAAACACCGGTGCCAAGGATCCATCCCAGACCCATTGCATTCTAAGCTCTAGAGGCAAAGCTTTTGAAGCTTTTGAATAGCTTCCCTCCCCAACCAGTTGTACTCACCATCCCTTTCATCATCTGATGCTTTGCCATATGGGGGCCTTGCTAACCCTGGAGAGACTGCCCCTCCTGAGATAAGCTAATTCCTAGAAATAGCAAACAAACAGCCTACCTTCAAGCATGGAACATGCCTTTCATATGCAAACCAACCAGTCCAGACCTATGCCCCAACCATCTCCTCTATGGGCTTTCACACTCCACTTTATAGGGCCACCATTCACTTGCCTTTATCATCCTAGGGCCAGGTACCAGACAACTAGGGTCATCCCGTATGCCTCAGAGCCAATAAAATCATTCAAACTAGCCAATTCTAAATCTTACCAAGCCTCATCTGTTTTGTCCTATGGAAATCACAATAAAAAAGCTCTTGTCTGCTTTTTCCCATGCTCCTCTGCCTCCTGACTGGCCCTGATGCTTCCCCATGTAGCCCCCTACAGGGTGAGATATCTCTTCTTTTGGAATCTGTGAGTGCAACAAACTGTCTTTTCAATGGCAATTGTCTCCTGATCTGCTGACTTTGCCATACCTGAATAATAACAAAACCTAGATTTTAAGACACCAGCAATTCTAATAGTCGCATGGGAGACACACTGTAGTAGGAAGATCTGTTGAGAGAGGAACTGGAATTCTCAAAGCCTGCTTCTCATGACTACTTCCTCGTGGGATTACTGTTATCCCAACTCTGCGTCTGCCTTCCTAGAAACTTCCCTCCATGTTATTCTGTATGGTTTTGAACAGTCTTAAATGACATTCCAGGTAGACTAGGGTGAGTCTATTTACAGACAGGATCAAGGCTTACAGATGGCATTTCCACATGTGTGCTATAAAACCAATATTTAATTCCCTTGGAAGCAAATCAATAAGTCAATAAAAAGAGCTTTGTTAGGTGCTGTAATTGAACTGTGCTGCCCTGGAGTTGCATGCGTGATTGAATCAATGAGTAAATATGTACTGAATGTCTCTTGAATGCAAGATTTGCGTAGGTCAAGGAAATGACAGCAGACTTGGGAAAAGAAGGGCTGTCTCAGGAGCAAGAGGGAGAGGCAGGAGCAGAACATAAGAAGCACAGACAACCTCGGGTGATCCTTCCCTAGTCCAGGACTAGATGGCTTTGTGCGGTTGTCATCGACTGAGCTTTATCATATGAGAACAAAAGGATGGCCTCCTTCCATCTCTTCAGCCTGCCCTGTGAGCTTGGGCTTATAGGAGAAAACCAAAGGACAATCAGGTGATACACTTTTACCTGAGCCAATTTAGCCTGCCCACCTCTCTGCTGTCTTTCTTTCATTCTTTCAACGAACATTAATTTGCTTTATATCTACACCTGAGTATGGGCTATAACATCAAGTAAAGTGGTCATGGATTAGGTCCTCAAGATGATGCAAGTGTGTGGATGAGATGGACAATAGGCAAAAATCCGTAAACTCTATGGAGTGTTTTGACAGGGAAGGTTCAGAACCTAGGGAAACATATACAGAGACATTTATGCACACATCTCTGTGTGTGCAAGTTCAATGCCTCTGAAACTTTTCTCATCGCCAGATGGAGGTACTGATCCCTATGTTGGAGTGCCATGTGAGGCTTGGAGATGACAGCAGGAAAGTAGGTAGCAGTGTCTGGCTTGGAGTAGGCACTCAACAAGTGAAGCTAATACTATAATGATGACGATTAAAGATCTGTTCTGAAACCTTTACCTGTTCCCCAGGTATGCCTGATGAGCTTTACATTTTATCTTCCAACACAAGACAGCCATGATTTCCTCCTAGCCCCTCTTCTTCTTTCTGCTGCCACACTCTGCAGTTGGGGTGGGCCTGTGGATATACCCTCTTTAGGTTTCATTCTGAGGAACAACTCCAGCTAAAGATTGGAAGCTACATCGCAAGGAAACTTATTTATAATTACAGACATATAATTACAGGTTTTGTGTGTGTGTGTGTGTGTTTTTTTTTGAGACATGGTCTCATTCTGTCATCTCGGCTGGAGTGCAATGGTATGATCACAGCTCACTGCAGCCTCAACCTCCCAGGCTCAAGCAATCCACCCACCTCGGCCTCTCGAGTAGTTGAGACTACAGGCACACATCACCACATCTGGCTAATTTTTGTGGGGTTTATTTTTTGTAGCAACGAGGTTTTTCCATGTTTCCCAGGCTGGTCTCAAACTCCTGAGCTCAAGGGATCCACCTGCCTTGGCCTCCCAAAGTGCTGGGATTACAGGCATGAGACACTGCCTGGCCAGGAGTGTGAAGCTTCTTTCTCCCATCTATAACCCACCTGCATGGTGGTAGATGACTTGATGGCTAATTTTTTAAGAGCTTGGGAAGTCCAACCCAAACAGTACCAATCTATCCTTCCATCCATTCACTTAACACAGTGAATATCTTTTAAGTTCCTAGTATGTGCCAGTTACTTTGCCAAGCACTAGGGATAGGAGAAAAAAAATTAAAAATCAAAAACAGTTTCTCACAGGTTCACAATTTCACTAAGGAGACACATCTACACAAGGGTTGCAACAGGGAGTGTATTACTAGAGTATAGAATATAATAGGAGTGCTTGTGAAACCAAAAGAAGAAGATTTGCTCTGCATGGAAACATTAGGGAGAGCTTCACAGAGGAGGTGATGTTTGAACTGAGTCCTAAAGGATGTATAGGCATTTTCTAAGCAGAGAGTAGAAGGGAGTAGAAAGATAGCACTCCAGGCAAAAGGAACAGATTGGGCAAAGAAACAGTACAAAGTGGCACAGCTCACCGGGAATACTGAGCGGTGGAGCATCACGAATACAGGAGAGGGGTAGGACTTCAGCTAGGCAGAGCCAAAGAATGCTGAAAAACGCAGAATTAAATGTGAAGGCTTTCATGCCAGGCAATGGTGTCATCAGCTTATCCTGTTCCAGGAAGGGCACTCTGGCTGCCGTGTGGAGGAAGGAGTGACTGGGGTAGGGAGGTAAGTCTGGGCCTTCAAGAATGAACTTAGGCACTGGCAGATGGAAAGAAGCATGGATCTGACAGCTGAAAGAGCGCAAAATGGACAGAGCCTGGAGACACGCTGGATATGAGAGCTACAAGGGAGGCAGGGCTCGAGGATGACTCCCAGGTTTGGGGCTTGGGGAAGGAGAGAATGGTGCCATTATCTCAGGCTGGGAACTCATGAGAAGGCAGTTTGGGGTAGAGAAGGGTAGGTGGGCTGATGAGTTCAGTTTTACACAGGCTATGTTTGCGATACCGGTGAGGTCCCTGAGAAAAGATTCCCCAGTCAACTGTAGGAAAGAGAAGGCTGAGATGGAGATGGAGACTCGGGGTCTTTGTCTCCTGGTGGCAATTCAGGCTCTGGGACAGCATGTAGAGTGAGGAGAGGCATGGACCAGAACTGGGACAGAGGGACAAGTGAGATGGAGGCTGTACCACCAGTGCTGTTTGGTTGGGACCAGGGGTGGGCGGGGAGGTTAGAACACAGGTAGAGAAGAGATGCTGATTCCCAGATCTGACAGTGGAGTCTAGGACACCAAGGTCAGCCTTCAATCCTGCCTGTAAGCAGGGCAAGCACTAAAGTCATTCCAGACAGAGGCCTGTTTTATTATCTGCTCTAATATCCCCTTGTTTTATTGTGAAAATGGCATACACATGTACAAAATAATTGGATACTCACAAATCTTTTTTAGCACCAAAATGCACCCAAACCCCAAGTTCTATCAATTGCAAATTGCTTTGATAGAACTTTTCTCTTTTCTCTCCCCATTTCTATCAAGACATGCTTCCAGACTTCCCAGGTAATTCAACCACCATCTCTTTTTACACATTTACGTGCTTCCTACTTTCTATCCTAATTTTTGGAACCTGTTTCCCTGGTGGTTGTTGGTTTTTTCTCTTCTGTTAACAAAATCCCACAGAATCTTTGTAGCTAAAATTTCAAGCTTGACAACTCTTTTATCTTGATACAATTAGACAACTGCCTCCAAAGTCCTCAACCTTCAGGAATAAAAGGCCTTGGATCTTGAACCTCCTCCCCAGTACTTAGACTTTCATGGACAGGTATAAAAGAATGCCTATGAGATGAAGTCTGGGAGTCAGGAGTACTCAGGTTTGCCACACAGAGCAAGTCTCAACCCAATCTCAAGCTCCAGTTTCTGCATCTGCAAAATGGGGTAACACTAAATACCTAACCCGTTAGGGTTGTAGAGAGAATTAAACAGGATAATACATTTAGTATGTTTAAGAGAATACCTGCCACATAGTGAGTCTCAATAAATAACAGCATTTATCACCGTCACTGCTCTTGGTAACCCCTCCAATCACCAACTATGTAATAATTTTCAAGCAATAGGGCATAATGCAAATTCAGGGAATGGGACTAGATTACTGCTAAGCTTCCTTCCAGGACTAATATTCTAATCCATGCACTCCAGTCTACACCAGGGAAGCATGCCCGGTGGTTGTGATGCAGCTTGGAGCTGGCTGATGTTTGAGTAGCAAGTGCCAACATACAAATGTTGCTGGGAGGACATGGGAAGGTGATCAATAGCAAAGGGAGAAATGGAAAGATCTATAGCACGGAGCCAGCCTCTCTTTCCAGAAAACCAGAAGAAAGGCCTCCTTGTTGCACTTTCTCAACAAATTCCATTGATGAGCTTCATCTAAAAGTTTCAAAATGCAAAAACACAAAACAAAACCCTGGTTGAAGAAAAGCTTCCTCCTTCCTTATGCCCCATCAACACATGCACAATTTATTTTAAACATCAAAGAATTAACTCCTAAGACAAGCCTTGGCTTTTATTCCCAAGGGCTCCTTTCTGCATCTGTGGACACAGAAGCCAGCTGTAACCACTTTTTCTGTTACTCCACAAGATCAAACCATAAAAAGGTTCCTACCAGAGGCCCAAGTATCATATAAACAAAGGCATACATCAGAGTCTAGTAAATTAGTCCAACTCTTTAGTCTAATGTTCATCTCCAAATTTCTAGATATTAACTCCCCCCCATGTGAAAAAAATATCACTTATATTGCTGAGCTCTTACTATAGGCCAAGATCTCAATGCTTATAACTCTGCAGACTGTTCTGTTATTATCCTCATTTTATAGACAAGGAAATTGAGGCTGAGCATGGTGACTCACATCTGTTTTCCCAGCACTTTGGGAGGCTGAAGCAGGCGAATTACCTGAGGTCGGGAGTTCAAGACCAGCCTGGCCAACATGACAAAACCCTATCTCTACTAAAAATACAAGAATTAGCTGGGCATGGTGGAAGGTACCTATAATCCCAGCTTGGGAGGCTGAGGCAGGAGAATGACTTGAACCAGGAGGCGGAGGTTGCAGTAAGCTGAGATAGCGCCACTGCTCTCCAGACTGGGTAATAGAGATACATGAATTCAAGTTTGCAAGTAGCTGCTAGTGACTTGACCCCAGGTAGGGGGGCCCTAGAGTCAGGCTTCCCACCACCATACGATGCTGCCTGTCACCTGCATTTTCATTTCCAATCCTTCATATTTCCTGTTCCCCAAAGGCACTGTCCCCACAGTCCAGCCAAGGGAATTCATTATCGGAGAGCTGAATTCTAGCCGAACTGATAGAAAACTATTTTAAAAGTTGACATTTGTCAATGTATTTCATTTATGAAACATTGCATTTGCTATTTAAAGTTTTTGCAACTGAATAATGCATCACTTAAATTAATAAAGGGTCTATGTTGAAATGTGTCCAAAGCAGGCATTTCAGTTAGCTCTGTGCTAATTTGTTGTTGTTGTTGTTTTCAAGACAAAGTCTTGCTCTGTCCTCCAGGCTGGAGTGCAGTGGTGCAATCTCAACTCACTGTAATCTCTGCCTCCCGGGTTCAAGTGATTCTCCTGCCTCAGCCAACCAAGTAGCTTGGACTACAGGCATGTGCCGTCATGCCCGGCTAATATTTGTATTTTTAGTAGAGATGGGGTTTCACCATGTTATCCAGGATGGTCTCGATTGCCAGACCTTCTGGTCTGCCCACCTCAGCCTCTCAGAGTGTTTGGATTACAGGCATGAGCCACCGCGCCCAGCTCTGGGCTTACTCTTAAGTCATTTTAGGTGTCCCCAGGTCCTATTCTGCTCCAGGATTCGGAGATAAGGGAAAATTTTCATATCTTTTGATGTTACCTCTGTGAGGCAGCTCTCGGAGGCACCCTGGGGGGTCTTTCCAGGGACATAGTGGGTGTCCCATCCACTTGTGGGGGGGCTGGACTGCGGCTTCTGGTAACCTCAGGGACTTCATTATCCTGCAGCAAACAAGATGAGAAAGAACAGCAAAAACGACATTCAGCAACCAGCACAGCTGGACAACCATATCCCAAAAGCCCTTCGGCCCTCTTTAGGCTGGGGCTGAAGGATGTTTGCAAATTGATAATCAACCCGGTCATACCTGGCAGTGTTCCATTTCCTCCTGGAGTCACTGAGGAACACAATCTGGCCCCAATTATCATTAACTGCCTGGACTCTAATTACTTGCTACTCAAAGTGTGCTCTGTGGCCGGTCAGCATCTGCATCATCTGGAAGCTTATTAAAAATGTTCACCCGAGGACCCTTCTCAGAAGGCTTCAGGGTTGGCAGTGACCCATGTGGGCCCTCCTGCTTTTCCCAGCCACCGGTCCCTAGATCAAGCTAGACACGTGTCCCACATTGGGCCAACATGGAATGGGGCCTCAACCTAAAGCAGCAACTTACTCCCTGCTCAGCGGCCTTGTGGCCTCTGGGGGACTGTGGAGAAGCAGAAGGTGGCAGTGTGAGGGGAAAGAAAGCAGATATGCACAGAGAAGCAGAGACCAAAGAGCTTTTGGGCCCGGGACACACAGAACAGTGACCCCAGCTCCCTCTGGCAGGCCCTGCAGCGCCTGATCCAGACTTGGAGTGCGGCCTTCACCCCTGGGTCCCCTGAGACTCACCCTGCTCCTTCCCACAGATGCCCCTTTTGGTTTCACTAGTAAGAGTGAATTTCCAGCTGTCTATTTTCTTCCTTCCATTCTTTCCTTCTTTTCTATTTATTGAGGTGAAGTTAACATAAACGTAACCATTTTCAAGTGGACAATTCAGTGGCATTCAGTGTATTCACAGTGCTGTGCAACCTCTATCTAGTCTTAAAACATTGTCATCATCCCCCCCAAAAAACCCTGTGTGATAGTGAATACTGTCAATTTGATTGGATTGAAGGATGCAAAGTATTGATCCTAGGTGTGTTTGTGAGGGTTTTGGCAAAGGAGATTAACATTTGAGTCAGTGGGCTGGGGAAAACAGACCCACCTTAATCTGGTGGGCACCATCTAATCAGCTTCCAGTGAATATAAGGCAGGCAGAAAAACATGAAAAGGACAGACTGGCCTAGACTCCCAGCCTACATCTTTCTTCCGTGTTGGATGCTTCCTGCCTTCGAACATCAGATTCCAAGTTATCCAGTTTTTGAGTCTTGGACTGGCTTCCTTGCCCCTCAGCTTGCAGATGGCCTATTGTGAGGCTCTGTCATCGTGTGAGTTAATACCACTTAATAAACTCCATATATATATATATATATACACACACTGTTAGTTCTATCCCTCTGGAAAACCCTGACTAATACACCTTGTCCCCATTAAGCAGTTGCTTCCTGTTCCTCCTCCCTCTATCCCCTGGCAACCACCAATCTGCAAACTGTCTCTGTGGATTTGCCCACTCTGGCATTTCATAGAAATGGAATCCTATAATATATGACCTTTTGGGTCTGGTTCCTTTCACCTGAGTTTCTATCTCTTGTGATGAAACAACCCCCGGGACAAGATAGGTGGGGTGGGGTCCCAGTTCTCACCTCGTTGTCCCCCTCCATCCCACTGCTCACGCTGAGGACGCTCCGGGTGCTGGAGCGGTTACTCATGCTGCCTAAGGGGTAGAAACAAAATCAGACGGATTGAGGATTCTTTCAGGCTAAAATAGAGAACTCTAGCACTTATTTAGTTTTATGGACATAAAAAATACACAAGTTTTAAGTATGGGATTCTTCAAACTTTGGCCATCTTTTTTTTTTTTTTTTTTTTTTTTTTAGAGACAAGGTTTTTTGGGAGTGCAGTGACACAATCACAGCTCACTTTAGCCTCAAATTCCTGGATATAAACAATCCTCCTGCCTTACCCCCGCCCCCCCAAGTAGGTAAGACTACAAGTGTGTGCCAACTTTTTTTTTTTTTGGTAGCAACAGGATCTCACTCTGCTGTGCAGGCTGGTCTTCAACTCAAGTGATCCTCCTGCCTCAGCCTCCCAAAGTGCTAGAATTTCAAGTGTAAGCCACTGTGTCCAGCCTTTGACCATTTTATTAGAATTCCGTTTCTTTCAGCATAAAACAAAATTATTCACTTTTTGATGACTGACTTTGGTATTACTGCTACCATTGACCGAGGGCTTTGAAAATGCGATTGCTGTTTAACCCCTATGAAAATCCTGTTGATATTGGTGCTCCAGTTTGACGGACAAGACAGCAAAGGTGCTGACTCTCAGCTCTTCAGTGGTATTTCTAAAATCTGCAAACTAACCTTGTTTCTGCAGTTTTTTACTTAGGAATTTTAGCAAACATGTATGTATCACCCATGCAGACACACCTTGTAATAAGGGGCCAGACCCTTTGACACAAAAGAAAATGCAAAGTACACACTCAAAAGTATAATTTTTTTTTTTTTTTTTTTCTGAGACCGAGTCTTGCTCTATTGCCCAGGCTGGAGTGCAGTGCCACGATCTTGGCTCACTGCAACCTCTGTCTTCTGGGTTCATTTCTCCTGCCTCAGCCACCTAAGTAGCTGGGACTACAGGCATGTGCCATCATTCCCAGCTAATATTTGTATTTTTAGTAGAGATGGGGTTTCACCATGTTGGCCAGGCTGGTCTCAAAACTCCTGACCTCTTGATCTACCCACCTCGGCCTCCCAAAGAGCTGGGATTACAAGTGTGAGCCACCATGCCTGGCCCTCAAAAGTACAATTTATGTTCGCAGTCAGAATTGTGACTCTGTGAGTTTAGGCACTCGAGGCTTTTCAGTTGGGAATTTATCACCTGTATCATTAGAATAGCACCATCCAATAGAACTTTCAGGACATCTTTTATTGTGTGTTATCCAATATGGTAGCAAGTAGGAAACATGGCTAGTACAACCAAGGAAATTAATTTTAAATTTTATTTAGTCATAATTAACTTAAAAATTTAAATAGCCCCATGTAGCCAGTGGCTACCATACTGGACAGCACAGCATTAGAATAAACACATGGTGATCTAGCAGTGAAGAAGAAAGAATAAGAGTTAACCAACTAAAACAAGGAGATCTTAACTTTAATTTCCAATATTCTCATTAACAACATAGTCAAGATCTTAGGTTTGCTGAATTTCCACTTCAGATAGCTCCTAGCCACATAACTTTATAGGTAGTAGTTTTGGCTGCATTCTGGTATAAGCTTGGACCTAATTAATTTAGATGTTAGTTTGAATACAGCAGGTTAAGATTATAATTTTGAATTATTTCTTGGGGACAGATTTTTAAGTTTAAAGTGCTATGTCAAAATGTTTCTATAATCCAGGGGATGCAGAATTGGTTTATTAATGAACATGTGATCCTGTCCCTTTCTACTCAGTTACCCATACACAACACTGTTCAAGGACCAGGCTATCTTTTTCTCCCTACTCTTCCCAGCCCACTCCTGTGCACAAGTCTAAAACCTCCTCAGTCTCCAAGACTCAGGACAAATGCTATCAAAACCTTTCCACATTCCCCCTACTAAAAGTAACCCCTTGAGCCCACAGGCCCTCATCCTTCTGAGGCTAAGCCTCCCCATGGCATTCCCTAGTGTTCACCACATTCCCTTACGATGAGCCATCATCTTTTTGAAGGTTAACTGCTAGCAAGAAGTAATAAAGCTGCCACAGGGACCAGCTCCATGACTCTAGAAACTCACACCCTTCAGTTCCCACTGCCCCTTCTGCTGGCATTCTTAAATCTTCAACCCCAATATTTGGCTCTAAATCTTGGCCCTGGCCCTTTTCCTCTCCAGGCTGATGACTTGCTTGCCCAAATCCCCTCTGGGCTGCACAGCTGGAAAGAGACTCTTGCCCCAGCTCCCCTCATCTTCATACTTGCCAGGGGAAGGAGGGCAGTGCCCTCCCCTTGGTAGGCTTCTATCATCAGGGGAGAAGTACTGAACAAGCATCTAACACCATGCTACTTTTGTACTTTCTCTCCTCCATTACAAGTTTCCTAAAGACAGGCTCTGGTTCTTTTCCATCTATGGGTCTCTAGTATACAGTCTAGCTCAGTATATACAGAGCTGTCCCCAGTATTTGGTGGATCAATGAGTGAGAGAAAAAAATGAATATATAAAAGTATAATATGATTCTTAAGAAACTTAGTTACACTTGAAACTATTGTTTGTTTTAAAAAAGAAAGAAAGAAAAATGAAACTTGGGCCAGACAACCTAGGAGATCAACAGCCTTTCTGTCATGAAACTTTTGTTTGCTTAAACATAACACTAATATCTGGGGCTTGAATTGTTAGTTATAACCAGATTTAACCTGCAACTGTTTTTCTGTGGTTTCCAAGAGATGACAGCTGCACCATAATAAAAACAGTGCTGTTTTTAGGGTGTGATTCATGGGGTTAAGGGGCAGTTGGTGGCTAAGCCGGGCCATCCTCACTCTCCCTCCCTGCCATGGGAACTATTTCTATTTGGAAGGCAGTACACCCCCACAGTTGAAAGCACAGGAAGATTTGGATATGAATCCCAGACCCCCTGCTTACTTGCCAAGAGACTTGGGGCAAGTCACCTACCCTCTCTGCTTCACTTTCTTTTTTTTTTTTTTTTGAGATGGAGTTTCACTCTTGTTACCCAGGCTGGAGTGCAATGGTGCGATCTTGGCTCACCGCAACCTCCGCCTCCTGAGTTCAGGCAATTCTCCTGCCTCAGCCTCCTGAGTAGCTGGGATTACAGGCAGGCACCACCATGCCAGCTAATTTTTTTTTTTGTATTTTTAGTAGAGACGGGGTTTTACCATGTTGACCAGGTTGGTCTCGATCTCTTGACCTCGTGATCCACCCGCCTCGGCCTCCCAAAGTGCTGGGATTACAGGTGTGAGCCACCGCGCCCAGCTTCATTTTCTTATCTAGAAATTCACAGCACTGTTGTATAAAATGAACCCGAAAATAGGGTGACATGCTTGGCACAGGGCATGCAAAGAGTAAGTTGGATTCACAGAAGCAGCTCTCATTACCATCATCCATTTCAAGATGGTGGACTAACCACTAGTGACCCGCAGTCAACCTCCCTGCCCAGGATCTTGCCCCCCACCACACTCTAGCTTAGCCACATGACCCGCTTTGGCCAGCATGGCATTAGCAAGCGTGATGCAAGCCAAAGCTTGCCAAGCACTAGCACACTGGGGCTTTTCCCTTTGGACTATTCTCTCTCCAGATCTTGTTGCCATATAAAAAGTTCAGGCTATGAATTAAAGGCCACGTGTAGAGAGGCCCTGGAGGATGAGAGGCTTCCTTGGATGTTTCAGCCCAAGCAGAGCTTACAGCTGAACGCCAACTCTTGACTGACCCCAGCCGATGCCACAGAGGAGAGACGACCCACCATCCCCACCGCGTCTTGTCCAAGTTGTAGGATCAGGCATAAACAAAGGGTTGTTTTAAGCCACTACATTTTGGCGCGGTTCATTGCATGGCAATAGACAGTGGAAACTGTATAACAGGGACTGGGTGCAGACCATAGCCACAAAGTAGAGTAAAATCCATTGGTTTGTCATTTAGTAACATTTTCTAACCAGATGAGCCAGCCATTCCCGGGCACTAAACCACTATACAAGGGGAAAACTAATTTATTCTTCTCATCTTCTCTTCACTCCAGGCTAGCCCCCTAAAAACATGTGCATTTGTCTTGTAAAATTTCCAACTGTCTCTCTCTTCTCCCATCCTGGGATGCACTGTCCATGCCCTGAGAGGGTTCTACCACTTCCCCTTTCCTCTTCCACAGGTCTCAGAGATAGAGCTAGCCACCTGTCCCTTGCTCCTTCTGCTACCTGTGATTCCTGAGAATATCTCTGTAATTCCTGAACGTGTCAGAATTCTCAAATTGCCCCCAGTGGGCTTTGCATACAAATGATCACCCCCATTATGTAAGGGGAAGTTTTCTCTTCTGTCCAGTCTAGACTTCCCAGGCAGTCATGTAATAGGCTGTGCGTCTGTTTTGACAGGTAACGATGGCAGAAACATTCACCTGAAAGAGAGAGGAGCTAGGTTCTACTCGCACCTTTCCTATTCACTGGCTACGTGACCTTGGGCAAAATTATCTCTCTCTCTGGGTCACAAATACCTCATCTATAAAGGATGGAGGAAAACTAGTTCAGAGGTTCTTAACCTAAGCCCATGGTGGGCAAAACTGTGTATGTGTCACAGACCTGTGCATGTGTCTGCAAGACAGAGCCAAATTATGTATCAGATTCTCAAGGGGCTTTGTGATGCAGAAAAGATGGAAGAACCCCTGGCTTAGATAACCTTCCTGCTCCAACATGCATTATGGGGTTCTCTGCCCAACATTTAAGGAGATATGAGTCCTGAAATTCAGCTACTCTCTGGCTCTAGTATTGCTTTCCTAGCCATTTTCTTAGCACTGAAATGTATGAAAGAAGAGAAACTCAATCTATGTGGCTTGTGAAGCCAGTGTGTCTAGAGTCAGCTAACACTACCCTGGATACGGGAACAAAGCCCTCAGCTCCCGCCTGTGCATCAGCCTCTTATTGTCTGTGCAATCAGACAGCTATTGAAGCTTGCCAGCCAAAAGGAAGGCATTACCTAATTAGATCCTCAACCTGCCTGTAAAGTTAGAAAGCTCAAATTTGAGTCTTTTATTTTTTTTCTTCTTTTTATTCTACTTGAGTCCATTATTTTCTGATATGCCTGACTCTGTGCCCTTTCCTTTGCTTTATCACAGTTGGGGAGGCAGCAAAGAACAGTGGCTAAGAGTCTTGGCTCTGTATCCAGACTGAGTTCAAATCGTGGCTATTCCACACGCTATTTAGCCTAGAACAGAGCACTAAGCCTCCTGCTTCCTCCTCAGGAAACAGAGATGATAGGCCCTATTTCACAGAGCTTTGGTGAGAATTAAATTAGATAATCTATGAAGTGGCTTAGAATATAGTAAATGCTCAATAAATGTTAACTATTAGTATTAAGTTTTGATATTTAGGAAAGGGCTAGAGTAATAATTACACAACTGGGCTTCGTGGGATACAAAGCAAACCTCATAGGCAAACAGTAATTCCGCCCCATCTTTTACACCTCTCAAACCCAAACCAGGCCCCACTGGAGATATCTTGGGCTCTTAAGAGGATGTTTCCTAAGGCCCAAGGGCGCAGGCCAGAGCCCAGCTAAGAAGACTCCACCCCCTGCAACCCCAGCTGCTCACTTGCTGTGCTGGAGGTGCTGTCTGTTTTCCAGTCTCCTCGTCTCAGCTCCGTCCTGGGGGGAAAGACGCTTTTCCTGGGGCCACTCTCATAGACTCCAAATTCCACTTTAGCAGGCAGGTGCTGTGAGTGCCGAATTGGGACCGTGATTTCCAAGTCTGGAATTGGAGGAAAGAGGGATGAGCTTCAAGACACCAGACTGTCACCTGCCAAGCTGCTCAGCAGCTTCCCTCTACCTGCCTCCCCAAGGGGAGGGGAAAAGATGACAAGACGGGGAGGGGCCCTGGGTTGGTGGTCCCCTGCCCTTCGGCACTGAAACTGTACTGAATCCTACGTGGCTGTCGCTGGGATACAGAAGAGAGGGACAGAAGAATGTGAGAAAGGGACAAAGAAGCGCTTTTGCATCAGGGAGTGGAGGGAACGAGCCACGAGAGAAAGGTCTGGGCCCTCAGCCCTGCCACGGAGCAGCCGTGGAAGTCCACCAAGTCAGCTATCCACTCTGAATCACTCGCCTTATGTGAGGAGGGATATGTCCATCCTTGATTGTAATCACAGGCTACTCTATGCACCAAGCACAGTTCTGAGAGCGTTGGCATTTTTCCCTCATTTAATCCCCACAACACCCAAGAAGTAAATACTATCATCATCAATGCCAACAGCAACTAAGGTACCAAGAAGTGAAGCAGCATGTCCTGTCAAACAGCTGGTAAGTGGCAGAGCTGGGATATGAACGCAGGATCCAGAGACCAGGCTCTTAACCACTGCTCGTACAGCCTCTCGCTCTCTGCATAAAAGATGGTGGGTGGGTGAGTGTGGGGTAGCTGGCCCACATGGACAGTAATCACCCAGAAAGCTAATGAAAGAAAGTCCTTCAGGTCTTTGAAAGATTTTGTGACTTGCAAGGCCCACGAGTAAGAGAGCTGATGCCTCTGCCGGGCAAAGCAGTGACCTGGCCTCCTTACTGGCTTAGCCCTGCCCGGAGATTGTCTCTATTCCTCCATACATTTCTAATGCTGGGTTCTAGGAGCAGAAAACAGCTCCTCTGATGAGGAAGAGAAAGGTCTGGGGGCACCAGCACCAACTTCCTGCTGAAGGCAAGATGTGCTCCTGCCTCAAGGCTCCCCTGGCTGCCTGGGACCTTCCGAAGCCCAGGCACAGGCTTTATACAGTGGTAGCTGTATAAACTTGGGTAGAAGAGATGTTAGCTTTGGGGACGTGTCCTTTTATCTTCCGGTACCACTTCCTCCTCCGCCTCTACCCTTGTAGGGGACAGGCGTGGCAGGAAGTTCAGAGTCCAGGGGCAGTGGTGGCTTCACCTGCCAAAGCCAGAAATCTGGCGGAGTGAATGGATAAACCGGAACAGAATGAAGGAGCGGCGAGAGGACAGGGCATACCAAGGTCCCCAGTGAACATTCTGCAAAGAGAATGTTTGGCATGGATTGTGGGCTTGCATAGGCATGAGCCCTCCTCATCTGGAGACTCCAGCTCCAGGTGTAGTGTATGGTCCAAGTGTCCGACCAGCTTCCCAGGGTTTGTGTAATCCAGGTCTTTTTCACATGTGGGGGCTCTCTCAGCTATAACATGCCATGGAAGCACCCACTCCAGCTTGGAGCCACTTGGACAGAGGACAGCCAGGGGCACTTTCACATGGGTGCCACCCACAGCATCTTAAGAGACCAAACAAGTGACAGGCCTTTTTTCTTTTTTCTTTCAGCTCTGACCTAGCTTTTTTAAATTTTTTTTTTTTTTTTTTTGAGACAGAGCCTCACTCTATCACCCAGATTGGAGTATAGTGGCACAATCTTGGCTCACTGCAACCTCTGCCTCCCAGGTTCGAGCAATTCTACTACCTCAGCCTCCCAAGTAGCTGGGACTACAGGCGCATGCCACCACACCTGGCTAATTTTTGTATTTTTAGTAGAAATGGGGTTTCACTATGTTGGCCAGGCTAGTCTTGAACTTCTGACTTCATGATCTGCCCACCTTGGCCTCCCATAGTGCTGGGATTACAGGCATAAGCAACCACACCTGGCCTAAAAATCTTTTTTTTTTTTTTTTTAAGGGAGATTCCAGTCTGCTTAGTTAACTTCAAGGAGGCAATTTTTTTTTTTTTTTTTTTTTTTTTTTTGAGGCGTAGTTTCGCTCTTGTTACCCAGGCTGGAGTGCAATGGCGCGATCTCGGCTCACCGCAACCTCCGCCTCCTGGGTTCAGGCAATTCTCCTGCCTCAGCCTCCTGAGTAGCTGGGATTACAGGCACGCACCACCATGCCCAGCTACTTTTTTTGTATTTTTAGTAGAGACAGGGTTTCACCATGTTGACCAGGATGGTTTCGATCTCTTGACCTCGTGATCCACCTGCCTCGGCCTCCCAAAGTGCTGGGATTACAGGCTTGAGCCACCGCGCCCGGCCAAGGAGGCAATTTTTTAACCTCAACTAATTCTATAAAGAAGGAAAGTAAAATACACAGGAAAAAAAAATAGGGGTGTCAAAAGTTCAGAAAAAAAAATAGGGGTGTCAAAAGTTCAGAAAATCAGGTAGAGCCAGTCCGAATGTTTATAAAATCCTGAGATTCTTTGAATAAAGGTACAGTGCTAGGGATAATTATCATGATTATATTGCATAGTGCTTTCCCAAAATGCATTTATATGCATTATAATAGCTCCTTTGAACTTCATGACTTCTCCATTAAGTAGGTAGGTCAGGTATAACCCTGGTGAGGAAACTGAGGCACAGAGCAGCTAAAGGAATTGCCCTGGATCATAAAGTGATTCAGTGACAATGCAGGAATCAGAACCCGAGTTTCCTGGGACCCGGTTAGCTCCTCCATGTCCTGCCCCACAGGATACACCCAGAACACAAATATTGATTATCTTCTCTGTGAGGCCCTGGCTCTCACCAGCCCTTCTCTAATTTCTTATGCTTTCAAAGCTCTGTACCAGCCCAGTAAGAGCAAACAACTCCCTGGGGTTGAAGAAAAACGGTCAAGTTATTAAGAACAGTCTTAATTTTCTTAATTCTCTTTGGCATTCTAACCCAAATTAAAGATTAATATTTTTTTCCTAGGGCAAATGAAGTTCTCAAATGAATAGTCAGTCCCTGTGTTTAGAATGGGTTACATTCTTAGAAAAGAGCTTTTATGCACAAACATTATCCATCAACCCTAATTTTCCTACAGATCTGTGTTATCATGTGTCAATAATATGTCACATTTATTCAACTATAAATGATGCCCTTTCTTGGCAAATGCTGCCCTTGGGTCTTCACATGCAGTACAGGGTCCAACTTCCAATTGCTTGAGGCTGTTTCTCATAGCAGAACGATGGGTACTCTTCCTCCAGCAGGCCTTCACCAACAACTGATGGGGGCTGGTGTATAAATGTCCCCGCTCTCTTGCCCCTCAGGTGGGTGTTCTCCACTGACTCCTCCCTGTCTCACTTCCCTATCCCCACCATAGTCCCTGGGATCACCTCCCACACCAGCTATTTGCTCTAAAATCCTTAGCAGGGGAGACAAGTTCTAGAAATGGAAGTGGTAATGGCGGCACAACACTGTGAATGTACTGAATGCCACTGAATTGTGTACTTTTTATTTTCTTGAGACAGAGTCTGGCACTGTCACCCAGGATGGAGTGCTGTGGTGCGATCTTGGCTCACTGCAACCTCTGCCTCCTGGGTTCAAGCGATTCTCCTGCCTCAGCTTCCTGAATAGTTGGGACTAGAGGTTTATGTCACCACAAAACTAATTTTTGTACTTTTGGTAGAGACAAGGTTTTGCCATATTGGCCAGGCTTGTCTCAGACTCCTGGCCTCAACGGATCCTCCCACTTCAACTTCCCAATGGCCCCCCAAAGTGCTGGGATTACAGGTGTGAGCCACCACCCCCGGCTTGAATTGTACACTTAAAAATGGTTCAAGGTTGGGTGCAGTGGCTCACACCTATAATCCCAGCACTTTGGGAGGCCGAGGCGGGCAGATCACAAGGTCAGGAGTTTGAGACCAGCCTGACCAACATGGTGAAACCCCGTCTCTACTAAAAGAATACAAAAATTAGCCAGGCGTGGTGGCATGTGCCTGTAGTCTCAGCTACTCAGGAGGCTGAGGCAGGAGAATCACTTGAACTGGGAGGCGGAGGTTGCAGTGAGCCATGATCATGCCACTGCACTCCAGCCCCGGCAACAGAGTGAGACTTGGTCCCCTCCCCGAAAAAAAACGTGGTTCCAATGGTCAATTTTATGTTACATATATTTTATTACAATAAAAACCACAAACAAGGAGGCCCTTGGGGCTGACAGGCAGAACCCATGTAGATTGCTTGCTGTCCCTGGTCATTCTTGTTTGGTGTCAAATTATATACAGTTTAATCTCTCAATAGTTATTATATTGATTAAAGCTCCAGTATAAAAAGTACAAATATTTAACACTCCTCTCCCCAAAATATCCTTGTTAGAGGGTCTGCTTTTTGGGGAGTAGGGGATGGGGGTGGAGATGAGGCAAACTAAGCCATGCTCTTTTGGAAAAATGTAGATATTGATCATTCTAATTTAGACTACAGCTACTGGTGGGTATAAATCACTTGTTCAGAGCCTGATCAGCCTTGGGTGAACCTTGCATAATGTTCCAGAACTTGTGATTCATTCTGGATGGCCCTGCCTGAGAGGACCCCAGCTGGTGTGTGGGCCTCTGTGTAATCATGAGCATGGACACTTTAAGGGGTACTCTTATGTACCAGGCACTGTGCTAGGCACTGGTTATACCCTAACTCATCCAATGTTCCCTAATGGGGCAGGCACTTTCACTTTTATCGTTTTGCAAAGGAGGACTGAGGCTTGGGGAGGTGAAATATCTTGCCCACAGTTCCCAGCTAGTGAGGGGTGAGCAGTGAGCAGGAATTTGACCCAACCTCGCTGGCCCCAGAGTCCATCCCCTCTACTCCTCTGCATGTGCGTCTGTCTTGCTTCAGTACCTCCAGTGGCACCAGGTGGAGCCTAGGTGAGTGGTCAGGATGTGAAGAGACCCAGAAGGCTCAGGTCTCGAGCCCAGACTGCTGAGCACATGTGACTCCAACACTAGGACTCCTGGACCTTCAAACACTGGGTGTGCCACCAAATCACAGGTTTTTTGATGGTGTTTATATTTAAAACCCTGAAATGTTTCATTTCATCAAGGCTTCTATCTTTAGGCTTATGGACTCTAGTTTTAAAAATCACCTCAGTCCTTTTATCACTGAGACCCCTAGAATCTGACCCTAGGATGACTGTGCACATCTTGAAACAGCTTTTCTGCCTTCTCTCCTTTCTCTTCCTCTCAACAAGTGGGACAGACAAGCGTGAACTCAGGTACTGGCAACATAAATTTAAAATCTAGACACCCAAGCAGAAGTCGTAGGATGACCTCTCTGACCTTCTGCGATGGTTAAAACCTTGTAACCCCTCTTCTCCCAAAATCATTGAGATTCACTAGGTTAGTACTACCTGCAAAACACTGTGTTAGGCATGGTGGGACAGACCCTAGTAGGGAAAGCCAGACCTGTGTGAATACACAGATAACTGACTCATTAGGCTACCAGATGGTAAAGCTAGTGTCTCATAGGTCTCTGTATTTGGCAGTGTGCCTGGTGCTTGTTAAGTGTGGAATGAATGAATGGTGTCACCAAACAGTTTCCTGAAGCCAATCATGCCAACAAAGCCTTCTGGAGCTCCATCACTGAACCATGCTGCACCCTGGGGACTCCATGGAGTGCACAGCAGACACGTTTCTGTCCACGTGGAGTTTCTAGTAGGAGGGAGATGGGGTGTTGGACCATAACCATGAGAACAGAGACCAAAGATGATTCCAGTCTGTGATATGTGAAAAGAGAGGACGCCAGGGAACTGGAAGTGAGTAGTGGAGGGCTCCTCTGGAGAGAATGGCAGAGAAGGCCTCTGATGAGGAGATGCTACACTGAACTCTGAAGGGTGAAAAAGGACCAGAAGATGAAGATGTGGGGAAGGCAGGGGAATGGCAAGTGCACAGGCCCTGAGGGAGAAATGCTCTTGGCTTGATACAGCAATAAGAAGGAGTCCTGGGACTGGAGCACAGGGTTTGGGGGAGAACGGAGGATGGGCTCAGAGGTCAGATCACATGGGCCTTGCAGGCTGTGAGTAGGAATATGATTTTATCCTGAGTGGAACAGGAGCCCCTGGAAGTCTTTGATCAAGGGTGTGGCATTACCTGGTTTTAAACACTTTTAAACATCATTGGCTAAAATGGGTTAACTGTAGAAAGGCAAGAGTGAACATGGGGAAATGACTGAGTGGCTACTCCCCTGGTGTAGGCAAGGGATGGTGTGGCTTGGCTGCAGCAGTGACATGGGAAATGGTCAGAAATGACCAGATTTAGGATGTGCTTTGGAAGCAGAACATCTCTGGACTGCCAGTGGCTTGGATAAAGGAATGAGGTGATATCAACCCACATATGCGTGAATGAGGAAGGAATACCATGGCCTAAAGTGGTCCAGGAAAGCATCACTGAGAAGGGGCTGCCAGGGCTGGGTCTTGCATCCCAGTAGTTTTCATACAGGTGAGAAGGAAGAGGCATGGCATGAGCAAGGGGCCCATGGCAGGAGAGAATGTCCTGTTTGGAGATCAGGTGTTACCAGCCCAACCAGGTTCATGGGAAGTCAGGCTGTTGATGGCAGCTAGAGAGAGACTTTGGAAGTTGTGCACAAAGAGGGCCAGATTTCTACTTGGTTCCTTGTGTAATAGGGCTCCACTCAAGATCTGAGTGCCTCTGAAAGCCTTCTCCTGCATGTTCCTCTTGCCATAAGGCTGGCCAGCATTAATCACAGATGCCCACCATGCCAGAGGCCCTCTGTGGGAAGGTGCATTGTGGGTAAATGCCAGCTCCTTGCTCAGGGGTGGTGGTACCACATGGCTGGCACAGGGGATAGGCTTAAGGGAGCAGGTGTGCCCAGTCCATAGTGCACACCACTAGAATTTGTGGCCCTGCTATTGCACCGTAGGAGCTCTGCTACACCTGGGGTCTGGGCTTCTGAAGCAGCATACGGTGCAGATGCAGATGATGCCACTGCTCACCAGAATCAGAAAAAACAGACACTGTGTAAATGGAATTTTCTCCTTTCTCTGCTTAGAAAACATATGTCCTCCTAATTACCAAGGGGAGAGTCAGGTGCTTGCAGAGCAAGTATCACCATCCTCTTTGAGTGAAAAGGAGGAAAGGATGCAGAGTTGACGGCACTTATTCACTTCTGAGCATGTCTTGTATACCAGGTACCAGATTGTTTATAGAATAAATAAGGCATAATCATTGCCTAAAAAGCCCTTACAGCCTAGCGGGGGACCCAGATCTGTAAACAGTGCGATGACTGCTGGGCAAGTGGTCTCCCCACTCAGGCCACAGCCAAAAGGAGAGTCGAGGACAACAGATGAGAGCAATGTCCCACACAGTGCAGCGCTCTGGTAAGCCACGTACCTGTCTGCTTTCCAGATTTTTGCTTCTCTCTCTGTCTTCGGGTGATGCTGTCTCTTAGTCGTTTAAGATTTTCCTGGAAAAGAATTTTTTTTTATTTTTTTAAGTGTACAACGGTATGATACCCTCTGGACATGAGACTTTCTGATTGTATGCCGTTTGCAAGGGTATATCACATTGCAGTCACATTTACAATATGCACATGAGGCTCAGCACATTCAGTCAGCCTCCAGAAATCCAAGTACTCATAGAATCTGTGCCTGAAGAGAAGACAACTCTTCCACAAGAAAGAGTCTTTCCTCCCCTCTGGTTCCCAGCTCTGTTCTACCTGGCCCCTCTCCTGTATGCCTCTTAGCTGAGCTCATAAACACTCCACAGGTATTCCTGTCTCTGAGACTATATTCTCACATCATTCCCCTGACTTTCAGGGATGCTGGTTCCTCCTCACGAGTCTGTTCCAGGCCTGCATCAAGTCTCACCTTCTCCCTGCAGCCTCCCCAGGTGCTCCGGCCTTGGTGACTGCCCATGCTAGTCATGTGGCACGTGGGCTGCACTGCCTCACCATGTGTGCACACTCTTGCGGTGAGCTCTCCAACGTCAGGAGACCAAGTCTTGTACTTTTCTGTAATCCTGCCATCTGGTCCATTGTAATCACTCAATAAATGTGGAATAAATATGTGAGGGTCAAGATTGTTTCTCTTTTAGTTGAACAATAACCCTGAAGTTAAATGCCTGAGCATTCTAGGGAAAATGCCTCAGGGAAGATGTCCAGGCAATCTGGCTGGAGCAGAAGGTTCATGTCGGGGAGCTGCAGGAGGCCAAACTGGAAATGAGGGTTGGCCTGCAGCTGCATGCTGAAGAGACTGAGCTTTGTCCAGGAGGCAGTAGGGAAACACTGAACGTTGTGACCTTGTCTTGGTTTTAAGGTTCTAGTCAACTAGATAAGAAAGAACAAAGGCCAGCCGACCTTCCTGGAGACTACGGAGTGTGCCAGATGCAGGTGACAGCAGCTGACATGAGGATGTGGCTGGGGGAATGGAGAGACAGGAGCAGATGCAAGAGGATGAATGCCACAGAGCAGGACCCAGCAGGACACGCCGCTGGCTGGGTGTGCGGAAGCACAGGAGAAGGCCAAAGAGACTCTGAGTCTCATCCGTGTCGCCAGGAGAATATGATGCAATGAGCATGGACAGAGTGTTGGGAAAGGGAAGCAGCCTTGAGGGATGGTCTGTTAGACATGCAGCAAGCACAGCCTCATCCACGTTGACAATGCCCAGCTTCGCCTGCTCCTGGTGGGTGATAAGCCGCTGCTGGCCTGGGGCACCTCAGGAGGATACAGCCAACTGGTGGCTGGAAGCACGGGACTGCACAGAGAGGGAGCTGAAGGAAACCTTCAGTGTCCACCTGTGAGAGTGGACAGAGGCAGAGGAAAAGACAGGTGAGGCCTCCACCCAGGAATGTCTCCACGCCACTAGCCATTGGATGGGGGATACTCAGGAAGTGCCCGGAGACTAGCAATGTGAGCCCCCAGGGGCTGGGATTCTCTGCCAATTGAATATGGACCCCAGTTGTCTGCTACACCCAAGAATTCTGGGCCAGTTCATGGGAAAGGAAGAGGTCTCTTGGACATAAACATAGGAAGCTAACATTCATTACGCATTTACTATGTGCCAGGTGTGCTGCTTACAGTGGCTTACATCACCTAGTCCTCCCCCTTCACATTTCAGAGGTGGAAAAACAGAGGCACAGCAAGGTCAAGGTCATCCAGCCACAAGTGGCAGAACAAAGATGTAAATTCAGGCTGCCAGCTGCAGAGCTCTGGCTGTTCTTAATTACTGTGCCACATGGCTGCACAACTTGGCAAGGAGATAAAAAAAAACCTTGTTTAGCCAGGGCCAGCCTTTCCTCAGCAGGACTGCAGCCTCCCCAGGGCTCCTGAGTGAAGAGCACCCATGATTCCTGCATTCGGCTCTCCAGGGTGCCCTCCCACCCTTCAGACCCCCACAGGGAGGGAGGCAGCTGGCAGAGTGGGTGCCCCTGTCTTAAGGAGCACTAAGAAGGCAGTAGTGAGAGGAGCACAGGCTCTGGGGTGAGAAAGGGGAGGTTTGAACCTTGACTGCCTCTTTGCCTCTCTGAGCCTCAGTTTTCTGTGGAACAGGAGGAACAATACTTATTTCACATCCGTCTATGAGTGAAAGAGACCAGTTCTATTCAACACTGAGCACAATGCCTAATGTAGCGCTGTCAGAGCTCAGCCAATACTGTCTGATGACACACTTCCCTGCTCTTTACCACTAATCCTCTCCCAGAAGGCAGCCTCCCATCTCAGCTCTGGAGGGATGCTGCTTACTCTCCGCCTCAAAAGCTGGTATGTCAGCTAGCGTAAGAACCTAGGTTAGAATACACACTGCCAGGGTCTGCAGCCGCACCACCCTGAACGTGCCCAATCCCGTCTGATCTCTGAGGATAAGCAGGGTTGAGCCTGGCTAGTACGTTGAAGGAAGCAGCCTGGGGAGGTGGAGAGAAAAGGCAATAGTTCCAGCCCTAACTTGGCCCCTTACTAGGAAAATCGTCTTGGACGTGTCTCCAATTCCTCCTTTTTAATACAAAGGCATTGATGCACTAGGAATGAGCTTCCTAGGTTGAGTTTGAGTTATTTTTACTGTTTTTAATTATACATAGTGTCTACTTATGGTACAGGTATGGAGTTGTATATTTTCATAAAAGCTTCAAACTATAAAGGTAGAGCGAGAGTCTCCTCTGACACCCCAGTCCTCCAATCTCCGTCTTCTCCCGAGAGGTGGTCCCTGGAATGGGTCTGAGGCAGCTGTTTCCAGATCTTTGTCCTTGCATTGATATACACATCCAGAGAAATACAGTTTGTGTGTGGACGTGTCTGAGTTGTTTTAATTTGGGTGGTTTTGTATCTGCAATTTGTTTTGTTCATTTAATCATATTTCTTGGGAGCTTTCCACGTTCTCTTTGAGGGCTAAAGTGTGATAGTTGTGAGGGTATTTGGCAGTAGGAATAGAAAGACGGACTCTAAAAAGAAAAAACCTGGAAGCAGGGAGCCAATGCAGAGAGACAGCAGCAGAGTTAGGGGTTGTAGTTGAGCCTTTGTTCCTGATCTCAAGCCTCATGGCACCTGGAAAAGCCATCCAGCTCTCAGCCCGGGAGTCATGTGGTTACAGACCAAGGTGACACATGCACTTGCTGGTTTACAATCAAACTCAAACGTTCACAGGCCCAGCCACAGGTGTCCAGGTATGGCAATACACAAGACAGCCAAGGCCCAGCCCTCTTCCACTGTCAAGGGGGGAAACAGACATGAAACAAATTCCATAGGAAGCCAGTTACCTGCTGGAAACGAAAGGACTCCGATCGTTTCTTCTGGTTGAGCTGCCACTCTTTGAAGTGGAGCACAGCCTCATCCACGTTGACAATGCCCAGTTTCACCTGCTCCTGGAGGGTGATAAGCTGCCGCTGGCCTGGCGTTTTCATCCCCGCAAAAGGGTCATATATACTTGACTGGGGCCTGTCCCTCCACGGTCTGACGGGCGCCTCTGGAAAGGATGGCAAAACTCAGCTTGACAGCTCCACCACTGGGGACCACTCACCAGAGGCATGGGGTTAATGAGGCTGGTCACAGGCTCAAGAGGACTTGTCTCAAAAGAACAATTACATGTGGCCAAGGAAGGAGAGATACAACATAAAATCAGGGGAGAAGAAAGCAGCTTATAATTTCAAAGCCTATCATGCTAAAGACAAGGCTGCAACATTTAAGGGAGGTGTGAAATCTGCTGAATCTGCCAAGTCTTAATTATTATTATTTTTAACAGGCTTAATTCTTTTCATTTTTCTTATATAAAAACCCTAAGTTGTAGACACAGCTGGAACCTGGATCTTCTGCTCCGAGACTCTGGTGTGGGTCTTGAGAGATGGTCAGTGAATTTCTGGTAGGGAGACTTGGTGAATAGTCTTTCCAGAGGTCAGGGGTCAAGTTCATAGGTGGCCCAGGTTCAAAGGTGGCCTAGGTTCACAGGTGGCCCAGGGTGGCAGTGCAGCCCCTGGCCGAGGTATAGCAACCATCATCAGCAGCTTCTTGGGCACAGAGGCCAAGATGATGCTAGTGCCCCTGGGGGCAGGGATGAGGCACACCAGCACAGAGTCAGCAGCCTGTCACCTTGCAAGGGCTGGTGTGGGGCTTGCTGATCTTGTTCCCCCTGTAAACTCTCTGTGCAGGCCCAGTGAGAGCTTGGCCAGGATGACAGCCCCTTGGATGGCAGTGGCTACCTCCTTGGAGTACTTAATACTCAGACGACACGGCCACTGTCGTCCTCAATGGGAGCAAACACCTTGAACTTGGTGTAATGACCAGCCTGGGTCAGCTTCTGTACCAGCATAATCTTCAGAACCCCATTCTTGAGAGATGACCCAGGACTTGCTCTTCATGTCCTTGGCTAGGTGGTCTAGCTTAGTGACAGGCATCCACTCCTTGTTCTCAGGCTTCCCTCCATGAGCTCCAGAGCCTTGGCCCCAGCCATAGCCACAACCTCAGCCTGAATGTCACTGCCAAAGCCTCCAGGGAAGCCATCACAGCCTCTCATTCCAGGCCCCCCAGGCCCTCCCACTGCATCAGCATCATTCACCATTTGGTGTACTCTCAGAGAGGCAGTCAAGCCTTAATTATTGAGAGGCCTTTAGACAGCATTTCTCAACCTCAGCACTATTGACATTTGGGGCCAGATATTTCCTTACAGTGTGGGTGCATCCTGTGCACTATAGGATGTTCAGCAGCATCCCTGGCTTCTACCCATTAAATGCTAGCAGCACCCTCTTCTTTAGTTGTGACAACAAAACATTTCCCCTATATTGCCAAATATTCTTTAGGGAGGGGGAGAAAATCACTTCCAGTTGAGAACCACTGCTTTAGACTTAAATCCACACCAAGAAGAGAATATACTGGAAGTTTAGCCAGGATGCTTCTCTTCCCTCACTGTCTCTAAGCAGCATGGGGCACAATGATTGTGGACTGATGGTCATGAAATGCCCCAGGAGACCAACAGCACCAGGTATAAAGTAGGTGCTGGCTTCCGGCTGGCTACCCTTGAGTTGTTCCTGTGCCAGCCTCTCTCCCACATTACAAATTCACAGTTCTCTGCTTTAGAGCTTCTAGAGTAATATGAAGTCAACCCTCATCTCTCTCCAGGCCATGAAACCAGTTCTGTGGGGAATGAGCTACTCACAGCAACCATGCGGCCACTGAAGCATCTTGGCATTTCACTAAATTCATATGAAGCTACTTGAATCTAAATTTCTCCCGCAGGACCCCATTTGGGCATTGTGATTCAGGGATGTAACAAGAAGAAGAAAGAGAAATGGCTTCACCAGTGAGTCTTGAAAAAGGCTCAAAGACATTTATCTAGCATTCTGCCCAACCATTCACTTATCTGTCCACACACTCACACATCCTTCTCCCAGGTCTGCCTTTTTTTTTTTTTTTTTTTAATTTTTTTGAGATAGAGTCTTGCTCTGTTGCCAGGCTGGAGTGCAGTGGTTCGATCTCAGCTCACTGCAACCTCCGACTCCCGGGTTCAAGCGATTCTCCTCCCTCAGTCTCCTGAGTAGCTGGGATTAAAGGCACATGCCACCATGCCCAGCTAATTTTTGTATTTTTAGTAGAGATGGGGTTTCACCATATTGGCCAGGCTGGTCTTGAACTCCAGACCTTGTGATCCACCTGTCTTGGCCTCCCAAAGTGCTGGGATTACAGGCATGAGCCACCAACCCCAACTGCTCTTTTCAAGGCTCACTAATGGTGTTGGGAGATGCAGTGGAGAAAAAAACAAAATGTACAAGCCAACCAGTTCCTGTCTCCCACTACCAGAGCCCTTGGGGGATGCCTTCAGATGCTTAGATGGTGTCACGGCTACTTTTCAAAAGAATCCTCAGTGGAATAATACTGAGTGTTTCTGTTTAGCACAAAAAAAATTAATCAGGAAAAAACAAAAGAGCACTTAGCTCCTCGAACTTCTTTTAAAAGTGTTTAGAAAAATGAGACTTCCAAGTTGTTCCCCAATGGCAAGCAAAATATCTTTTAAATAAAAGTTGAATCAAAGTATAGTTTAACTAGTATAGATAAGGTAAGTAAATAGCTCAGAAAGGCTGTATTATTATATTATTAGGTTAAGACTGGGTGCTGGACCGCCTACTTTCATCCTGTTGGCATCAGCCTCCATGTTTAGATTATACTTTTATGTGCCATATGGATACTTTCCACTAGATTAAGGTCATTTGTATGACCAATTTGTACAACATTGTAAAGGACCCTGATCTCCTCCTCTCCCCATTTACCATCAGTACAAGACTCTCAGACAGCGCCACCCTAAGGTATCTTTGGATCTATTTATTTATTTCGTTTTTGTTTTTGTTTTTGTTTTCTTGAGACAGAATCTCACTCTGTCACCCAGGCTGGAGTGCAGTGGCTCAGACTCAGCTCACTGCAATCTCCCCCTCCCAGGTTCGAGCGATTCTCCTGCCTCAGCCTCCTGAGGAGCTGGGACTACAGGCGCCTGCCATCACCCCTGGCTAATTTTTGTGTTTTTACTAGAGACAGGGTTTCACCATATTGGCCAGGTTGGTCTTGAAATCCTGACCTTGTGATCTGCCTGCCTCGGCCTCCCAAAGTGCTGGGATTACAGGCATGAGCCACGGCACCCGACCGATTTATTTAATTTTAGAGACGGGGTCTCACTGTGTGGCCCAGGTTGGTCTCAAACTCTTGGCCTCGAGTGATTCACCCACCTCAGCCTCCCAAAGTGCTGGGACTGCAGGTATGAGCCACAGTGCCTGGTCTACATCCCTCTGTTTTTCAGTGCCATGGAGCTGTTGTTGTGCTTGGGAATCGCTAACCTACGAAGACTTCTACCACCCAAAAGTTCTGTTCATATAACATCTGGCTTACCTTTCTTGATGCTCTCTGAGGAAACGTAAAAATTCCCAGGTCGCTCTTGATTTTTTTCTGCAAAAACTATGAGATAAAGAATATTCTGATTACTGAAAAACTATCAAAATCTAGTACAAAGTAATAGTAATAATGAATCCATACCTAGGATCACCGTATGTGGTTTTGTAAATCAAAATTGCAAAAAGAGGCAATTAGTGAGAAGGAGTAGGAATTGTCAAGTAATGGCAGACTAAACAGATACAATCTCAAAACTAGAAAGACAAAGCCAGCCAGAGGACATGATCAGAATTTATAAGCTCATTAAAGAAAACAGTAATGGGAGCGAGGGCATGTGCCTGGACCCCTGAACACCTGAAGCTAGCCGTGGAAAACCTTGAAATTTGAGAATAAAAGGAAGTACCACTTAAAATACCAACTACTGCTATCAGATAGGACTCTAAGCAGTAGAATAGTATAATAAGTGTACAGCTCCAAAGAGATTAAGATGAAGTCATTTATGAGGCATAGATTCATGAAGATTAGGCGAGAAAACCGGGACATGACAAATGTTCACTTAGTGATAAGATGGCATGGTGACGCTGGCTCCCTGGGCTCTGAAAGAGACCCCCTGAATCCAAATGCTAGCTCTGTGGCTTCTGAACCATATGATCTTGGACAAGTGGCTTGACCTCACCCTGTCCCTGTTTCTTATCTGTAGAATGGGGATGATAATAGTTCTTTCACTCGATTATAATGAGTATTAAATGAGTTAATACACGGAAAGCACTTAGAACAGTGCCTGGCCCATGTAAACACTCAGTGTTAGCTTTCATTATCATTATTCACATCTGAACTTTGAGACTGTTGCCAATAGTCAGCAATACCGTGGCATGCTAGTTAACCCAAGTGATGTCTCTATAATGCCTTACCGTTTATAAAGTACTTCCTTCTGTATTATTTCATCTGACCCTCACAATAAGGCTATCGCAGAGTATTAGTATATATTATTAGGACATGTATTAATGTATACGTGTATCATTACAATACCCATTTTATAGATGAGGAAACTAAAGCTTAAAAGGGTAAAATGGCCCCGGGCATGGTGGCTCACACCTATAATCCCAGCATTTTGGGAGGCTGAGGCAGGAGGATTGCTTGAGCACAGGAGTTCAAGACCAGCCTGGGTGACACAGCAAGACCCTGTCTCAAAAAAAAAAAAAAAGGTGGGGGGTGAAATGACTTACCCAATGTCCTATGCTGTACAGCTGGAAAATGCAAGAGCTGAGAGATGAACCCAGATGTTCTGGCATCCAAGCCTTTGCCCCTTTTGTCATCTCCTGCCTCTCTCCTCTCCTTTGCTTCTCCACAGTTTCCTAGCAAGCCCATCAGGGCTCTTGAAGAATCATCTGTGCCCCTGTCCAAGCACCTCCCTACAATGAGCCATGCCAACTGTTCCCTACTCCCTCCGCTATTTAGGAATGACCGGCATATATTTGCATGCTTCTTAGATGGAGTTCCCTCAGAAGCAGAACCCGAGACAAGGATTCAAGTGCACGCAGTCTATTTGACAGGTGACAGAAGTAAGCCGGGGAAGTGGATGGTGTAATAAATGGTGGGTAATCGAGCAAGTTACACTGTGGGCAACTTTGGAATCCCTAGAAAGCAATGTAGAATGTGCAACTAAGAATTCTCCCACCGGAGGGGCAAGTAAGCTGGGACACTCATCCACACCTCCTGTCAGGCACTGGTTGAGGGCAGCAACTCTGTGTGTTAATTCTCCAGTGCTTTCAGCCTGTCCTGTAAGAGGGCAGAGAAAGCTCCAGGTGCTAGAGGAAGCTCTTGGGCTGAAAGACACAGGTGCTGACAGGTAGGGTCCAGCCAGTGAACACAGAAATGTAAAGGGCTAGGGGGACACTGGCAGGGAACCAACAGTGTCTGCTGCTCATGCCAAGGAGATGATACCCAAGGAGACTGCAGGCCACAAGCAGTCACAGCACCTGGCTGTATATAGTATCTCACAACTGTATTCCCACCCAGTTCAGGGTTCTGGATTTTGCAAAACAAAAGCAAAACAAAAATGTGTGTGCTATTTGGGACATACACTAAAAACTCATTTGCTATTTATCTGAAATTCAAAGTGAACTGGGCATCCTGTATTTTATCTGGTAACCCCAACCCAACTACCTAGTGCTCTGGGTGAATGCTACCTTCCCCAATTTATAATTCCCTTTTGCCACACCCCCGATAACATGATGATACCATTGAAAAACAGAATATAGTTCAGGGGCACAGATCTGGCAGTTCTTTTTTTCTTCTTTTTCCAGATAGGGTCTTCCTCTGTCGCCCAGGCTGAAGTGCAGTGGTACAATCTCAGCTCACTGCAACCTATATCTCCCAGGCTCAAGCGATGCTTCCACCTCAGCCTCCTGAGTAGCTGGGACTACAGGTGCATGCCACCACACCTAGCTAATTTTTTTGTACTTTTTGTAGAGACAGAGTTTTGTCATACTACTTAGGACAGTCCTGAACTCCCAGGTTCAAGTCATCTACTGCCTCGGCCTCCCAAAATGTTGGGATTACAGGCATAAGCCACCCCTCCTGGCCTATTTCTAATACTCTTAAAGTACTTGTAACCTTATTATTGCAACCAAGTCCAAAAAAATAGTGAAATCAACAATGCCGTCAGTATCTAACTAAAGTCCCAGGGACAATTATGAAGAAGTCAAAACCCAATTTTTAATAACATGAGTAGATGGTCAGCCTAGCATAGTAACTAAAAGCCAGGGCTGTGAAGTCAGATTCTCTGAGTTCAACTCTTGGCTCCGCTATGTTCTGGTTGAGTGACCTCTGTAAAGCCTCTATTTCCTCATCTATAAAATGAGATCATGATGGTCCTTACCTAATAGGTTATTGTAAAGATTAAACGGTGTGTACCAGATAGAGCATTATTGATAGATTTCAACAAATGTTAGCTATTCAAAATTAATAATATCAAGAACGGTTTCAGGAGATAAAAATTTACCAGGGTTCTTGTTTACCTGCCTTTGCAACTGTACATAAATACTTCCTGGAAGGTCAGCACTGACTCTGGTCATTGCTCCTATTCTAGCTCCATAATCTGTCCCAAGATATGACCCTGTCTACTAGGGCTGGTTGAAGACCATTTAGAAGGGGATAGTCTCTCAGCAATGGTTCAAAAAGCCAGATTATCCAGGAAATCCCTGTTGAGCAGCTCCAAAGACCCTGCTGGGCATCATTCCTGCCACACTTGCCTTTAGAAATATATGGTTCATTGTCAGGCAGCTGGTGAGCACCAGGAGCAGTGGTCTCTGGTCTGGGTACTGGGACAGGGGGCCTGCTGGCCAGGTCCACGGAAAAAGCCTCATCTTCATCCACTGTGTAATAAACATCTTCTTCCTGATCAAGATGGCATAGATCTCTCTCCAGATTGGTCATTCCCATGCTGTTGCCTAGAAACGCAGAGAAAGGTGACTGAAAGCAGCGGCCAAAAAAACTGGGTGTTTGCCAGTCACAAAAGCAGAGTGAGGGACCCTACCTTGTTTTCTCAGTGCTGCCCTCTGCCACGGACTTTCCCCAGTATCGCTTCCTGTACCATCTGCTCAGAACACCATGCAAAGCAACTGAGAAAACACTCATGCCACCTTCATTGACACCCAGCGATGCAGTGCAAGGACATGAGCACAAGGCTTTATCATCTCTGTTTTACTCCTGGGATTCAGTTATTCATCCCATTAGAACTAGGGAAAGTCCTAGATAAGACTAACTGTCAAAGCCCTAGTTAAGAAAGGTGGGGCGTTCACTGCCGACTGTCCAATAAAAGTGATACTTCTTATCTAGGGCTTGAAACAGACTGCCCAGGACTCTCCTCTCAGGAAAACCTCTCATTCTAGAGTGGGGGTCAGAACACATTTTTTAAAGATCCAAATAGTAAATATTTCAACCTTTGAGGCCATAAAGTCTGTTGCGGGTACTCAACTCTGCTCCTGTGACATGAAAGCAGCCATAAACAATACTAAATAAATGGTCACATTGTGTTCCAATAAAACTTTATTTACAAGACAGTCAGCTGGCTGGGCTGTGGTTTATCTGCCACTGCTTTAGAGTTTTTTCCTTCCTCTTCACTGTGAAAACTGCTTTTGTCCCCTTGAGTCCCATCCTCTTAGCACTCTGCTTTCTATATCTACTTGATTAACGGACCCCACCATATATTGTAAACGATTGGACAGGGTTAAAGAATGACTCATGCAATTTAACAACCTCTATCTTTGAAACCTTCAATAATAATAACAACAATAATAAATCTTTATCAACTGCTTGTTATATGCATGGTGGTGCTCTGAGACTAATGTGTACTAACTCATTTAATTATCACAATATTTATCTCATTTTACAATGGAGGAAACTGAGCCCCAGAGGAGTTGAGTAACTTGCCTAAGGTGTTCCAGCTAACTGGATGGGACAATTGAGAACAGATCAGAGTTCACATTCCTAGCCACTAAATAACACAGCCTCAACTTAGTAATCTTTGTTTATGTTCCCCTCCTTTACCAGCAAGTAGAGTCTCCTGAAGGCATTCATCAGAGCTTATTTTTCTTTTTATCTCCAGCCCCAACATCCAGAACAGTGCTTTGCACATTGTAAGTACTCAATAAATTGTGGTCAGATAAAAGCAACATACGCATCTCAAAAGAGGTCTTGCTAAAGCCAACTTGTTTACCCAAATAAGTGTCTCCATTAGTTGGAACTCCTGGACCACCTCTAAAGGACTGATGGGGGAGCTCAAGGTAGAGAAGTAGGGGGAGACGCAGTGCCTTTATTCACATCACATGCCGTGTATGCAGCAGCTCATTGCTTGACAGTAACAACCCTCAAAGTCAGAGTACCAGACAACGTCTTGCATTTGTTTCTTTCACTCTTGGCTTCCCTGCTCATGGCTACCACTCACCTTCTAAAAACTTGCGGATCATAGAGTCCTTAGTGGCCCGAGAGAAACCGTCTCCAGGGATTGGGTTAGATGTACTGGCCTGAAGCATTTCAACATCTAGAAGGAAAAGGAGACTAGGAAAGTTATATATTCTCCTACACAGGCAAGGAGTTTACAGATGGAACTATGAGGTTTGGTGACTCTCTTAAGAGATTCAAACATTCACCAATCTATCCATCCCTCCATCCATCCACCTACTCAAGGACACCCAGTAAGTGTGGGGCATGAAAGAGAGCAACATGCACAACCCTCAGGCTCTTCCTTGCACCACAGGTCTCAAAAGGTAAAGATGCTTATTTGCTTCTGAAATAATAGGTTTAATTTTGAAATACTACATCATTGCACTATTACAGAAAAAAAGGAAGTAGTAACAGGGAATAAATTGTGTTATAAATATGTGCATACACACACACACACACACACACACGCACACACATATATATATATTAGAAGCAGGGTTCCAGGCTGGAGTGCAGTGGATATTCACAGGCACAACCACAGGACACTGCAGCCTTAAACTCCTGGCCTCCAGCCATCCTCACACCTCAGCCTCCCAAGTAGCTAGGATTACAGGCATGCACCACCATGCCTAGTTTACAAATTGTGGTTTATTCAAACAATGGAACATTATACAACAATCAAAAAGAATGTATTGAAGCTATTTCTATCAACATAGTTACCTTTGAAAAACAATGTTGAGTGAAAAAGTTACAGACAGGTGTTATGGTATGATATTGTTTACATAAGGTTTTAACCTATAAAAATATAGTATAAATTGTGTATGAATTCATATATATGCAGTATGCACATAAATATTCTGGGAATGATAAATATTGAGTAAATACCTCTGGAGAGGGAGGAAGGATAACTGGATTCTGGAGGGGGTTAGTAGGGAACTATAATTGGAACCATATTATTTAATTAAAAATATTTTGAGACAAAAAGGAATAAAAAGGAAATATATATTCTTGAAGATTCTGATGAATCTGAAGACTCAGAATCTTCAAAAAATATATTTTAGATGATTAATATGCTACCCAAAAAGGGCAAAATAAGAATCTATTTTTGTATTTGTTTATATATAAAAAAGAAACTGGCCAGCCATGTTGGCTCACATCTTTAATCCCAATACTTTGGGAGGCCAAGGCAGAAGGATCTCTTGAGCCTAGGAGTTCGAGTCCAGCCTATGCAACAAAGTGAGACCCCATCTTTACAAGAAAAATAAAAAATAGAAAAAATTAGCTAGGTATAGTGGAAGAAAATTTTCCACAGAAGCAAGAGCATCCCTGGCTGGGCCTGGCATGCTGACATAGTAAGGATGCAGACTTCCACTCCAGTAGAAAGGGGTACTATAACCCCTTTCCCAATGTGCGCATTTTGGAGGGCGTTAAAGAAAGAACTTAAAAAGAGAAACAAAAAGGCTAGGCATGGTGACTCACACCTGTAATCCCAGCACTTTGGGAGGCCGAGGCAGGTGGAATGGTTGAGGTTAGGAGCTCAAGACCAGCCTAACCAACATGGCGAAACCCTGTCTCTACTAAAATACAAAAATTAGCTGGGTGTAGTGGTGGGTCCCTATAATCTCAGCTACTCGAGAGGATGAGGCAGGTGAATAGCTTGAACTCAGGAGGCAGAGGTTGCAGTGAGCTGGGATTGTGCTATTACACTCCAGCTTGGGGGACAGAGCAAGACTTTTGTCTCAAAAAAAGAAAGAACAGAACAGAAAAGAATGAGCGAATGAGCGCCAGTAATGAGACTTAGGAACATCAAGACTCCTTGCACCAAGAAGTACATCATTTCTATGGCATTCTTGCCAAAAGTTCATAACCTCAGCCCAATCATAGGAAACATCAGACGAACTCAAACTGAGGGGCATTCTACAAAATAACTGATCAATGCTCTTCCAAAGCATCAAGACAATGAAAGACTGAGGAACTGTTCCAAACTGAAGGAGACTGAGAAGAAATAACTAAATGCATTATAAGATCCTAGAAAGGTTCCAGAGCAGAAAAGGAACATCAGCGGCACAACTAGAGAAATTTGAACAAGGTCTATAATTTAGTTACAAGTACTGTACCAATGTAATTTCCTGGCTTTGGTCATTGTACCATGGTTATGTAAGAGGTTCATATTAAGGGAGCCTGGGTGAAAGGTATGCAGGAACTTTGGTGTTTTTGCAACTTGTCTCTCTAAGTCTAAAAGTATTTCAAAGATAATTTTTTATATGTATGAAAAGGAGAGGAGGAATCACTCTAGCGAAACTAAATAATCATAGCTCCTGTGGATGATTCAGTAATCCTCCTTCCTGTCCGCCTGCACTATCAAGCTAAGTACCTTCCAATGACACTGTGGTACAGATGTATGTGGATACGATGATCAAGGTGGTGCTAAATGAACCACTTGCGAAAAACAAACACTTTTGCATTATAGTCATGCCTTAACTGGTGGTTAAGAGCATGACTTCGGAAGCAACAATGTAGACTCGGCTAAATATCAGCTCTGTGACTTGGTAGAGTTATTTGGCCTCCTTGAGCCTCCGTGAGAGTGTCTCACAGGATGATTAGAAGCTTGGTCATTAGGATCAAAATGCATAGGTTCTAATTTTGTTTTTCTCACATCTGGCTGTATGACTACACTCCCACCAGTCCAACACCAACCAGTCTTTTTAGGTTCAATTAAACATTCAGACTCACAAGATAACCCTGGGCCAGGCGTGGCACCAGTCTACTCAGAAAGACATAGGACACAAGCTAGCAGGGCAGCGCCGAGAGCTGATCTTCCTTTGAGTAGTCCTTGCACCTGACCAGCAGCTCAGATGCAAAGAGACAAGATCCATAGCAGGCCATGCTGGTGAAAAACCTCACAACCTATAAGAGCAACTTCTCATAGCAACTCCAGAGGCATGGCTTCTGGGGTCCCAGTGAGAGAATTGCCAGAGTCAAGGCCCTCAGGAAAGGCCAAAGAATGGTGTCCCTTTCAGTATTTCTAGTTCCTGTACAGATCCTCCCAGTTCCAGGTGCAATTTACCAATCAGGAGCCATTTTTATTGTAGGCAATGTTGCCTGGAAACATAGTTGACATTTGCCTCTTATCAGGTTACCGGGGTAACAGAGCTAGGAAGTCAACCGAAGGTCAAAATTTTATGCAGAAAGGGAAATGATAGCTATTATATTTTCTCTTTGCCCATAATTATCTGGGGCCAAGTTTTTGAAATCCTCTCAGCTTCTCTCTCTTCTTATCTGTAAAATGGTGATAATAATAGTACGTATCTCATAGGTTAGTCATGAGTATTAAATTAGGAGCTTGCCAACTGCTGAGCACAGTATCTAGCACATAGGAAGTGCTAAAGGAATGCTAGCTACTATGATTACTATTACTATTATTTTTTTTATTAAATTCTATACCCAGGCTAATGTCCTAAACAGAGACCAATTCAAAAAAGAGGATTCAATTAACACTTCTTTAACCAGGACCTTTATTTGTTTGACCTCAAGTTTTCTGCCTTCAAAGTAATAAATGCTTACAAATTGATTGTATTATTTGAATTTCCACACATATTCTCAAATACTTCATAGATTATATTTAGCCTAGTAAAAACTATGCCTACTCAATATGTTTATATTTGAATATACCTAAAGCAAGGGAGGAATCTTCAGACAACAAACATCAATTCTTTGCAATGGAATTATTTATGGAAATCTGACTCACAGATGAGCCTGGCCAGGTGCATTTTCTTTATCGTGGCTTCTGGACACTAAGTACTGGCTCGACAAAGCCAGCAGGCTTCTTCCCTTCTTTGTGAAGACTCTGACCCTGTGGTCCAGCTCAGACTTGGAGGTCCCATGCCCGTTTGCCTGACACTTCCCTGACGCCCATCACACTCTTTATTAGTGGCTTAGCAGTGAACACCAAGGGGCAATTCCAGCAGCTCTTTCACCCCTGCTGGCCCCACTCCATGCATCCAGGACCACAGGGAGAGGCCAACCATCAGGGCAGAGCCTAAAGCCAGAAGATCTGAGGCACAGCTGGAAGAACATGATGGGAGCAAGGGTGCAGGGAGGAGGAGCTGGGAGGGTGGTCTGCAGACACAAGGGAAGACCCGAAGTCAGGAGTAAAGGCACTGACAAGGGCTAGAGCCAACTGAACAGATTGCAGGGAGGGAACACACTTAAATCAGAGAAAGGCAGCCGCTGAAACCAGGCAATTAATAAAGGCTCAGGTGCTGGCCACTGAGCAACCAATGTAGGTCGGCATCACAATCAGAAGCATGGACTTTGATATCATGGAGACCTGGGTTCAAGCCCTGCCTCTAACAACTACGAGCTCTGTGTCCTTGGGCAAGTCACTTGACATCACTAAGTTTCTAGATCTCTATCTGTAAAGTGAGGATAAGTAACAGTACCTACCTCACATGATGATCATTCAGGCCAAAGGAGATGTGTAGAAAATGCTTACCAGTAGTGCCAGGCACTAAATTTTCATGGTTACCATTATTATTATATTGTGGCAACTTAGTTGGTATGTTAGTTTTCTATGGCTGCTATGACACATTACCATTTAAAGCAACATAAATTTGTTATCTTACAGTTCTGTGGCTCAGAAGTCTGAAAGAGGTCTCACTGAATCAAGATGGAGGTTTTGTCAGGGCCGCATTCCTTTCTGGAAGCTACAGAGGAGGAACTTCTCCTCGCCCTCTCTAGACTCTAGAGGCCACCTGCATTCCTGAGCACTAGGCTGTCTTCTGCCATCTTGAAGCCCAATGTTGGGCAGAAAGCTTGGCTGAACTGAGTCCTCCCCCGGATGTCCTCTCTCTGGTCTGTTTCTGACTCCCTCTTCCACTTGTAAGGACCTTTTTGATTATACTGGGCTCACCAAGATGATCCAAGATATTCTCGGTATCTAGAAGTCAGTGGATTAGCAACCTTGATTCCATCCGCAATCTTAATTCTCCTTTGCCATGTGACCTAGCATATTTACAGATTCAGGGGCATTATTCTGCCTCCCAAGATAGACCCAAGTATCAGGCACAGTCAGCTTGCCATGAATCTCCTTCCCAT